TGGGATGAGGTTTGTAATCCTAAGGAGGAGGGTGGGTTGGGAATCAAAAGGATTAAGGATTGTAGCACTGCTATGACGATGAGGTACATTTGGTTGTTTTTTACAGATAAGCAAAATTTGTGGGTGAAATGGATTCATATTTATCACTTAAGGGGCTGAAGCTTCTGGAGACTAAAAGCTTCTCAATCATGCTCTTGGAACTGGCAGAGTTTTCTTAAATTAAGATACTTAATTAGGCCACTCATTAAGCATGTGATTGGAAATACACAATCTACAAAGCTTTGGTATGATAACTGGCATCCTATGGGACCTCTAGATTCATTTGTTAGTGTGAATGGAATAGATGAACTGCATCTCAATAAGGAGGAGTTTGTTAGCAGAATTATTAACAACGGCCAATGGCAATGGCCTCCAAATTCCAATACCATCCATATTGTGGTCATCTCCATGCCTACCTATCTCCCCAACCCTGCTAATGAGGATACTCTCAAGTGGATTCCTAATAGCAGAATGGGATTCAACGCCAAATCTGCTTGGGAACAAATCAGACAAAAGGGACCTTCTGTTTTCTGGTATAAGCTAGTCTGGTCTGGGAGATCTATCCTTAAAATGTGTTTAATCCTATGGCTGGCAGTTAGAAATAGGCTTAGCACCCTTGATCATGTGCAATCTTATGTTGCTCACTTGGGATCAGGATGTATTTTATGCAGGACTTCTTCTGAAACACATCCTTATTTGTTTTTTGGGTGTCCTTTCTCCTCTAGAGTTTGGTCTGCTATCCTCTCATTCATAGGGAAATTTGGTAGCCTAAACCTTGGGATGATTTTGTCAAATGGGCTGCTACTAATTGGATGGGTAATTTGATGAAGAAATTGATTTGCAAAACTACTTGGATGCCACTGTTTATCACCTGTGGATAGAGAGAAATAATAGAAGATTCAGAAACCTTTTTAGGGACTGAAACTCTGTTACCCATCTTATTCTACGGACTGTGTGGAGTAGACCGCCTTCTCTCAAATTCAATACCTCTAGTAGCAATCTCCAAACTATTCAGAAGTGGACCCTTCCACATAGTTGTCTCATCTAATCCCCTATTCCAGAGGATCTCTTTTGCTCTGTTTTATGGGTGGAATTTGTCTGGAAGTGGTCACTAACTTCACTTACATTTGAATTCCTCCTTTCCTGGGTTTTTTTTTTTTTTTGTGGCTGTTAATAGGTTGTTCTTATTGTTTTGTCATTGTCTATACACCTTTGTATTTTTCTCACCTTATGCAATAGATTTTACTTTCCGAAAAAAAAAAAAAAATTCAAGGGGGTGGATTGGGAAGATGTTTCCAAACTATTTCAGGCTTTTCTATTTGGTGACAGTGTTACATGCGAGCACAATGCTTTATAAGTGGTAATTGTGACGAGTCTTAAAGGCATGCAGATTTAAGCTAAAGAGGACAACATTGTACAATGGGATTCGGCACATTACAATTTGTAACTAAGATACTGACATCCTGTTGTGAAGGCTACATAATCTGTGCACTAGGAGTGCACCCTGATCAGGCAGGATGGGACAGTGCTGGCATGGTGAGAACCACCTTCAGATTCCCACACTACTTGGACCTGGACATGTTTGACACAAGGACGTATGAGCCTAAGAAGGTTTGAACATCCAACTCAAAACAAAACAACATTGTACAATAGAAGTCCAACAAGATACATAAGATGCTAATTCACAATTACCGTGAATGACAACCAAACCACCTCCAAAGACATGGAACATGGAATCAAAAGTTGCATAACTTTAGTATAAACTTAACATCATAAGTATACAAGAAACAATGTTTTTCATTAAACATATGCCCTAAACATGGCAGCCATTAGGAGGCACATGAGGCCTTTAATGACAAGTGGTTTCATGCAAATAGCCTGTTAGAGACAAGAGGGCTATAATGGCTTACTCCAGAAACTGAAAGAGATATACATAGAAAGGAGAAAACTAGAACCCGTCCATTCAATCACACCAAATTGGCTAGATTATATAAAATATAAAAGACAAAAAACAACGTTACATTAACATCCCACTTTCATTACTATAACCAGAATCAATGAAAATGCCAACATCACTCATCCATTACTTTACACACAATCAACACAAAACGCATGAATGAACTTGATGCAAAAAACGTAACTCCGGCTGCAATGTTTTATTGCATCCAATAATTTTATTAGAAGACATTTTTGAAACTATCAAACAAATTCTTCATTCAAGATGACATTTCTTTTTAGGGTAAAAATCACATGAACCCATAAGGGGTGTTGTAGTACACGAACATCCCTCGACAGCTAAAAAATGCATGGAGATTTTTGGACATTGAAAAGTTGTAATAGAAGTCCCCCTCAGTCTTGCTCCTACCCCTTTTCTATTTAGCCAAAAAAAAAAAAATTCCCCCTCAGTTGACGGACTTAGTAAGATAACGATAAACCATGAAGTCAGTCAAAAAAACTTAAATATCTGCAAGGAAACATTATATTTTCACCCCCTCAACTATGACCCTTTTTTCACATTGCCCCTTGAACTACGATGTTTTCACATTATACCCCTAACTATGTGATCAGTTTCACATCACCCTAATTATTAACGTCTGTTACAAATTTAACGGAAAATCATTTCACTCTGCCTCTCAAACTATGTTATTTTTTTCACTTTCCCTAGACACGTTGACAATTTCCATCCAAGAGACTAGATGACCGTTTGCATTTGGGACAATGTGAAATAATTCAAGTAGTTGAGGATACAATGTAGAAACTTCAATAGTTCAAGGGGCAATGTAAAATTGAGTCCATAGTTCAGCAGTGCGTTCTATTTTCAAAATTAAAAAAAAAATGACTAAGATTTATAGGACAATACTACCCCAAACTTTCATTTGAAGAGACAATTATGCCCCTTATTAATAATTTGATAATTAAATAATCTTAGTAATTAACACCACATTCATTGTAATTTGAAAAATTCGTCACCAAATTAAATATGTTAATTATAATACTATAAACAACTTATCTGAAAACCTAATCTAAATTTCAATGATTAACCTAAATAAACAAATCTAGTTTTAGTTTTTAGGATATATCTACTAATTATATACTTTAATTATTTACTACTTAAGAATCCATCTAGACTTAATTTGTTTCATAATTTTGGTATGGAATTTAGTAACCACCATGACCTGTGCCTCCTACGCCACACATCAACACAACCACCTTCACTATCATTGAAACCTTCCACAAATCATTCACCAACCACCATTGTCACAACCTTTTATAGTTCAATCGTCAGACAAACTGCAATTTTTAGAAATTATTCACTATCACCACTACAAGACGACTATTGGTAAGGGTCTTAATCAAGCCGAGCCTTCCGAGCATTGGTATGCAACAAGTTGAAGGGCTGCTTAGGCTCGACTTGGACAACGAGTCCAAGTTTTTGTTCAATTTTTGCTTGACACGCACATGAGCCAAGCTTGAACCAAAATTGAGATTAAAAAATTAATCTCGAATCCATACTAAAAAATTATCAACTCTCAAATCCACAAGCCCAAATCTCAATTCCCAAGTCATGGTCTGGATGTGTCCAAATTTTTTAAAAAATTTATCACTGTGTTTTAGACATATCCTGATCGTGTCCTAAATGTATTCTGAACGCGTGCTAGAAGTATTCTGACCGTGTCCTAGACCTATCCTGGTTGTGTTTGACTGGGTTCACTATTCAGGACACTTCTAGCCGTTTCTAATACGTGTCTATGACATACACGTGTCCGACACTGTCATGACACATCTCTGGGAAATATCCATGCTTTCTAGGTTAGCATCTATGAAAAATTATATTTTTTTGTTTTGTCCTTAATTATTAGTATAAAGTCAATTATGCCCAAAATTTACTTTTATCTAATTTTTATTTTCTATACATATTTGACTTTCAAGTTTTTTTGGACTGTTATATCAATAGTATTTGTCTTCTACATTTTTGTGGACTCCTTTATTAATTGTACACTTACATACAATTTTCAATAGCTATATCTATATATATGAAGTAAAATTCAATCTATATTATATTATTATATACATGTAGTTGTCAGATTGGATTATACGGTCAAATATATATGTCAGATTTAATTTTTGGTGTGCAATAATATCATAATATTATAATTCAAAAAATAGTATCACAAATTCATCAATCTCATTGAAAAAAATGTAATAAATCTATTAATATAATTAGATATGCAAATTCTCAAGAATGTCCATTAAAGGGCCGGGGAGATATCTAAAAAATGACAGATTAGGTACTCAAAGAGATTAGGTATTCAATAAATCTAATTATTGAATAAATGAATAATTAATTAAAATAAGAATTAATTATTTGACACATGAATAATTGGACAAACTACTAATTAGTGAGATTTTTTAAAATTTTTTTTTTGGGCAGGGTGGGGGAGGGGGACGTGAACCCTTGATCTCAAGAAGACAAAGTCTTCACAATGTAAGGAGTACCATTGAATCAAAGGCTCGTTGATTTATTATTATTATTTTTTTTTGGTGGAACCTCGACGGTGTGAAGGAGATTTTAATGATTAAAAATCAAATTACACCTAGTTAGGGGAGGACTAATGTACCTTACCCCTCCTCAATGTAATTTAATTACAATGCAATAAGGAATTAAAAAATTGTAATGCATGATAATACATTGAAATACTATTCTAGAAATCATAATTTCCTAAAAGCTGAAACCCACTGCTGAAAAAAATGCTGAGCTGAACAGTCACGTGAATAGTGACGTGAACAGTCCAGCTGCAGCATAAATTCAGCTAAAAGTGGTCAGCTGCATCATCCAAATTATTACCCATTGCTGAAGAACGTAGACCTTGAATGAGCTAAGAGGCTGCGCCTGCCATTGAGCTGGGGGAGTCTCTGAGCTGGGAAGAAGAAGCTAAGGGAGTAATGAAACTGAGTCTGCATTAAATACAAGCTAAAGGCAGATGAATGGCCATCAGATAAGGCAGGTTAAGAGCCATCAGATAAGGCAGTTGAAAGGAAAGGTTCATCCGCCTTTCTGATAAAGTAGATGAATAGAAAAACTCTGCCTGAGGGCCTTCTTGTCCAACTGACGAAGAACAGACAAAGAGATGAACATGCCAAAAATGAGGATCAAAATAATGATCCCCATTCTCGTAACCATCCAGATTATGAGTCCATAGGAGAAGACTAATATCCAACAACGTCAAGAAGATCCTCAGAGGAGCAAAGAAGATGAGAGTCCAGCTAGAACCACAGAATAAGATAGTGCACATCCTCACAACCACAGAATAGAAAATCTCCTCCTCATACCCACAGAATAGCAGAAGGCTCCTGTGATTAATCCAGAAATTCCAGAGACCAAGGCCATCCTTGTAGAGTTCCAACCGTAGAAGCAGAGCAGAATGAAACAAGGTCAGATCCCAAATGCTATCCCAAGAATACTAGAGGTATTGATTCAGCCGAAGAAGAGAAAATGAACAGGTGCCTGCTATACACTTTCTTAGTTTAGTTTCTTTGCTTTTGGAAGAAATGTCCCTCATGTTGAGGGATGAATTAGTAATTTGGACTTTGTTTTTTGGTGAACTCTGATCTGCACCATCTGCATACTTTGTAGATGTTCCTATAAATTGTTAAGATAATCTAGGAAGAGGCAGAGAACCTCTTACAAATTGCCCTGATCCCACGCTGATCATGTTGCAGGAAAAGTCTGATAGAGATAGGCAGCTCACCCTGATTCAAGTATAAACAAGTACACTGATCCATAACCCCTTGGTTAGCCAAAGCATCTGCCACCGAATTCCCTTCCCTATACACATGTTGTATTCGACAGTCCATAGACTGTAAAAGAGGAAAAATTTGATCTGTAAGAGCCCATAAGCGCCATGATGGGTTAAATTTTTTGGTAATCATGTCCAATACGACCTGAGAATCTGTCTCAATTTCCCAGTCATAAACCTCCAAGCCATAATCATAGATTAGAGAAAGGCCATCCAGTAAAGCACGCATCTCTGCTTCCATATTTGTGCATCTACCATAGGTATAAGAGCCTGCAAGAACGAACTGACCCCAATAATTACGTATGATCACTCCACCCCCAGATTCACCTGGATTTCCTTTAGAAGCACCATCAATGTTCAATTTCAATCTACCTTTTGGTGGATAAAGCCATGAAACACATTTCACTTTAATGGTAGCCTGAGAAACTAGATTGAGATTTAGGGAAAGAAGAATTCCTTTCCCTGATTTTGAGTCCATGGATTTTGGTTTGACATTATATACTTGCATGCGGCAAAACTGTAAAACAGTTTTAAATAAGATATGAGAGCGGAGTTTGTGATTTTCAAAGATTCTCCTACATCTTTCCCTCCATAATTGCCAGAAAACCAGAAGAGGAATACCCCTAGTCAACACATGACTAATCGAAGAGAGATTGAATATTCTTATGAGTTTCAAAAATCTTGTAATAGGACTTTCATTCTCAATCAAGTGAAAACCAAAAAATCTGGAAGCATAGCCCCACACTTCTCTGGCATAAGAGCAGCTAATAAACACATGATTTAGTGACTCTGCATCCTTTTCACACAACACACACCTACTAGCTAAAGCCACACCCTCTTCTGAAAAGTAGAATCCATAGGAAGAATGTCCTTCCATAGCTTCCATCCATGCAACATGGCACTGGGAGGAGAAATTTACTTCCATAGATTATAAAAAGGCATCTGAACTGGCCTAGAAGTGCGAAATAGACTCCAAGCCGTTTTTAAAGAAAAGGACCCAGTAGGAGTAAGTTGCCAGATCAACTTATCCTCTTTATTAGATAACAAAACAGAAGAAGAAACAATTTCCTGCAGTGGATTACCATCTAGGCATTGAGAGACTCCTTGCAAGCACCAACTACCATTTATTAATAAGTCTGATAACATTGGAAAATGACTAGGCTGTCCTTAATATTAATGGACCTGATCCAAGCCATATTCATGGAGTCAGACATATTCTCCAGTGGGGGCAACTTAAACTATATTAATATTAAAATTTAAAATATTCACAAAAATATAATTTTATTAATAGAACACCAATTAAAGATGTAATTCATATACATAAGCGATATACAAAATGAGCCTACAAAAAAAACTTATTATAGATTTATCTATAAGACCTAACAAAAATTTTTTGAACCGCAAAATTCGGCTCAATCATATATTAAATTTTAAGAAAAATTTTCATAACTAATTCAAAAATTAATTTGTTCAATCACAAACTTAATATTCATCATTAAATTTTAACAAACAATCGAAACTAACTTAAACTATAATTATTTTAGTAAACTAAACCTAGGTATATGAAGTACTTAACTTATCACAATAAAACTGTTCAAACTACCAAATCAAAATAATTTAGTCTAATTATAATGGAGGATTACAAATTCTAATTCCAATTCTACAAATAAAAATAAAATAAATGAGACGACTACAAGTCCTAATTCCAATTCAACATATAAAAATAAAATACTAGAGAGGACTACAAACCCAAATATCAATTAAATATATAAAAAAATAAATCATAGAAGAGGACTACAAGCCCCAATTTTATTTCAACATAGAGAAATAAATACAAGACTACAAATCCTAGTTTCAATTCAATACATAAAAAATAAAACATAAGAGATGATTACAAGTCCCAATTTTATATTTTCAATTCAACATGTAACAAATAAAATACAACAGAGAGCTACAAGCGCTAATTTCAATTCAACATTTAAAAAATAAACCACAAAAGAGGGCTACAAACCCTAATTTTCAATTCTAACATATAAACATAAAACAAAGAAGAAGATTACAAGTTCTAAATTTAGTTCGATGTATAAACATAAAACAAATGAGAGGACTAACATATTTCGTAACATATTAGTAATCTTTAAATGTCCAAAATTTTGATATCATTTTTCATTGATATTTACAAGTGAGACTCATATATTTGTCAAAATAACATAATTACTCTTAAATCTTTAAAAAAAAATCAGTGGGAGCAAATATCTAATAAATTCTAAATTTTTTAAAATTACACTTTGTACCCAAAAATTTTAAAATTCCAGTGGGGGCAGCTGCCCCCACTGTGAATCCGCCCCTGGAACCAAGGCTTTATAAAGTCTGGAATGACTGCCAGTTAGTTGTTTAAGTGGATGCTGATTCTTAAAATATTTTGAGGAGAAAAAAGAAGACCAAAGAGATGAGCCTTGTAGAAGATGCCACACTTGTTTCATTCTAAAGGCGTTCTGCACATCCGAAAACTTCCTGATCCCAAGTCCACCCTCCTCCTTTGGCATAGTGATATCATCCCAAGAGCACCAGTGGCTCTTGCGAACATCTCGTGTACCAGACCATAGAAATGAAGCCATAATGGAATTGAGTTTAGCAATAATACCTTTGGGCAAATTTAACGTGGCAAGTAGAAGCACAGGAATAGAATTAGTGAGATTAAAAGCAAACTTATCCCCAAATGAGTTTCCTTGGCAGACTAAACCCATCATAAGTTTCTTAGGGAGGATTCAACCCCAATTTTTACTTTTATTTATTAATCATAACCCGTATTTGAAGGTACGGTGCAATATAAAATCTAATCGTCCAAAAAATCGATATCATTATATTAAATAGTAATTTTTTTCTTCCCTTTTTTTTAATTACATAATTTGAAATTAATTTTTACTCATTATTTTATAAAACAATCGACAAATTTTCTCAAAATGTAACCTTAAAAAAATATTAATATTAGTAAATTATGGTACATGAATAGTGCCACAAATAATTTAACTTGTTATAGAAATAAATGATGTAATAGAAACGAGCGGAAAAATGTGTAAGAAATAAAAATAAGGCAAAAATAAAATTGTTTTTTACAAATAAAAAAAAAAGAAAAATATAACGGTATAACTATTATATGCAGACACTTCAAAACATAACGGTATAACTATTAAGGGATTAAATTATTCACAGTTGTCCTCTAAGCCAAATAAATACGGGCAACCAATGATCTTTTGACACTTCAGCAGTTTTCTCGTATTTTTTTGAACTCTAACTTCAGCAACTATCAGTCATTAAATGCAATACAAACACAATCAAAAAGTCTAGATCATACACAATGACCAATGTGGTCAGATAACTTTACACTAGACCTTGGTTAAGCAAAGTTAATTTACAACCCAAATCAAAAAGTCTACTTTTGTTTGTAATTTCATGTGTGGTTAAAGCACATGGGGATGGATGTTAGGCACATGCGGCCATTTAAAACTACGGTTTTTTCTGTTACACGGTGTATTGTTAGACGGTATTGTAATTGCTGTTAAACAATTTTCTTCGAAATCTAAGGCAAGGAAATCGCGAGTTTGTAAATGAAATAGGCATGATTTCTGGTTTAGAGCACCCAAGTCTTGTGAGAATTGTATGGATGTTGTATTGAAGGAAATCAATTACTATTAGTATATGAAAGCATGGAGAACAACAGCGTTGCCCGTGCTTTGTTTGGTAAGTTGGTATTTTTTCTACATCATGTACATTATGTTGATTATATGAAGTATGGTAATTAAATTGCAAGACTACATTCACTGATAATCGGCATTGTTAATCTTTTTTCTTCACTTGTTTTGAAAGTTGGTAGATTTTTTCTCTAAAGGCTATCAATGTAAACTGAAGGTCCAGAGCAGTTGCAACTTGAACTAGAATGGCGTACAAGGCAAAGAATTTGTATTGGCATAGCTAGGGGACTGGCTTTCCTGCACGAGGAATCAACACTGAAAATTGTTCATAGAGACATTAAGGCTACCAATGTTCTACTTGATAGAGACCTCAACCCAAAGATCTCTGACTTTGGTCTAGCGAAACTCGATGAAGAGGAGAACATCCACATCAGCACTAGAGTCTCCGAAACTTTGTGAGTTTTCCGTTTTGTCTTTGTCTTAAGAGTATTCTACCACTAGCATGTTCTTCTTGAAATATATATCTCAATGCTTTGTTTGGTTAAAAGATTTTATCATTGCTTCTCCTTGTATAGTTCAAGTAAAAAATCTGACAAAAATAAAAATTATTCTCAAGAAGAAGTTTTCTTAGCTGAAAAAACCTATTTCATTTCAAGAACAAGCGCAAGGTAACACTGGACATCTCATCATATTGTTCTAACCTTGTTTCTTGAATTAACATGAAACTGCTCATCAACAATAAAAATTAGTTAGCCTATTGTGCTCGAATTATCGTCTATGTTGGCAATTCTTGTACGCAAGAGTTCATAAAAGTTATTTGAAGTAATAAATAATACTAGTAAATTACTGAGTATTTCCATTTTTGGCAGAGGATACATGGCACCAGAGTACTTACTTTGGGGTTACTTGACCTACAAAGCAGATGTGTATAGTTTTGGGGTTGTTGCATTGGAAATTGTTGCTGGAATGAACAACATGAAATATCGTCCTGATGGGAATTATGTTTGTCTACTTGACTGGGTAAGAAAATTTAATTCTTTGCATGTCTTGTTGCTGTTCTTCCCTACCCATTGGTGTATAGTTTTTGGTTTTCTTTCTGTTCTTCCCTACCCATTGGTGTATAGTTTATGTGTTTATGAGTTCCTCTTTATCGATATTATCACTAGCGCTCATACAAGATTTATGACTCAACTCAACAAAGCCTTAACTCACTTATTTGGGATCGACTACATGAATCTTGTTGCGTCATATTGTGCTCTACCAAATGTCATATTCTTTGTTAAATCACAAGTTATCATTTTTTTTTATTTTTTTACTATATCAATCATATATCAATAGGCATTACAAGTAGCTGCCATATAAGCATTATTTTTCCATACAATGCAGTTGCATTCTCTAGAGACCTACCACAAAAGATATCAAAAGTTCCTAGACTCCTAGATAAAAAATAGATCTCATTGACAATCTTAATGCTAGACAGCAAAACTTGACCATAACCGTAAAAGATTTATAATGAACCTAAAAGAAAAAGAAATACATTTCCAACCCTAGCATTATGGCAAATAGAAATCGTCCCTGAAATGTCTTCCTTATTTTGAACTATTCAGCATGGACTACTGTGCTTGGGTGCATTAGAAGTTGAACTTCTCAGCCAGTCTATCTGGGGCATCAGTATTTTGTCTTCACTAACATAAGAAAAAACAATTACTAATGTTCTTTAAGTGTCTTGAGCTAGGGACTTCTTATATTTGAAAAACTAAAATTAGTCATGTTTGCAGTTTAAAAAGAAAACGAAATCAAAACAAATTCTTTACTATGCATCCCTCAATGCGAATCCAAACTGTTAGTTTTATAGTAGACATGACACACATTCAAGTATGAATGAGTACTTTTGTTGCACCCCTTTCTATCAGTTTAAGCTTTTAGGGTTGTTGGGAGACTAACTTGGTATCACATTCTAGGAATCTTGCGTTCAAACTACACCAACAACAGCTCCCTTAGTACACAATAGAACCACGTGGACGGATCACCCAAGAGTGTCATTCGTGAAGGGAGTGTTAAATAAATACTCATGTTTTACCGCAAGTCGAATACCTGATAACTGTCATTAGCTTTTATGCTTGTTTCAGGCACTTGTTTTGCAACGTAAAGGAAGTTTGATGGAGCTAATAGATCCAAGGTTGGGTTCTAACTTCAACAAGGAAGAGGCAATGAGAATGATTAAAACAATTCTATTATGCGCTAATCCGTCGCCGACACTTAGGCCTAACATGTCTGCCGTATTTAGCATGCTTGAAGGTCAGGTTACTGTTCAGGAACTAAACATGGATCCAAGTATTTATGACGATGAATTGAAGTTCAAAGCCCTCAGAGACAAGTATGAAGTGATGGAACACCAGAACTCCGGTGAAACTGAGATCCTTATCCCTTCATCACCACCACCCAAGATATCTACCCGATTATTCTTGGTTCTTCATACTGAGGAGCGAGAATTATGCTTTGATGGTCCATAAATAGATTGCTTGTTTAGCTATTTTTTAAGTTTTTGTCCTACTTAAGGAAGCCGAAATATGCATTTTTCCTCTTTCCATTAAGAATCATGACCTTGGTGCAATTGAAATCAAGAGCACAGTGACAGGTGGATGACCAAGAATTTATTAGTGTAATGGCTAAAAAGGATAACATGAAATGATAAATGACAGTTATTCTTGTCTTGCTTCATTAACTATGCTTAATTTGTAGTAGTATCCAATATACAAGCAACATTGTTTTTTCGATATGCAGCTGCACAAAGCAAGATATGCAGGATCATGAAACATGGGACACACCTGGCCTTTTAAGTGAAAGTCTTACAAGTGGTTTCTGTATCAATAACCATTATCCCGAAGCTAAGATGTCTCCGTTGCTGATATCCCCCGTTGTCCATTGATCATCTCAGCTGCATAATCAGCAGATAAAGTAGATTCTTCAATCTCTTTGCTAGCAGAATGAGATAATGTAGTGTTTGATGCCCCTTCTTGTGATGTGCTCCCGGATTGAGAGGATTGAGAAAGAGCAGCTATGGCCTTGGCAGTTGTAAATTCATCCATTGGGTAAGGGGCACTGATTCTAGAGGAAATTATCTTAGTCTTTCCTTCCATGATTTTTACAACTTCAGACATGGTTGGCCTGAGTGTAGGGGATGGGTTAGTGCACATCATTGCTAAATCTAAAATTGTGATCGCGTCTTTCCGAGAGAAGTCAGATCCGAGGGCTTGATCTACTAGTTGTATAAGATTTCCCTGCTGTTGTAAAACATAAGCCTGCAAATTTTCATTGCATCTAGTAATCTAGTGAGAAGGCTTTTTATATATAGACAATGCATCAACAAATTTTTTTTTCGTCATGATGATTTTCTTTTTCAAGCATGGACACACGAGCATATAAACACTCACAAACAAAGTTAATAGAGTGTGGATTTGCATTTGGCTCACCAAATCTAGAAGGTAGACACTCTGATCATTTGGCCTAGAGGTGGCATTGTTCTTCCCACTGATAATTTCGAGAGTCACAACTCCAAAGCTATAAACATCTGCTTTATCTGTTAAGTAACCTCGCATGGCATACTCAGGTGCCATATATCCCCTGCAAAAGGCCTCCACCATAAGGACAGTCATGCATTTACCTTGAAAGAGAGAGGGTTTCTAAATTAACAAGTTATTTCTCATCAAATGTACAAGTATTTATTATAAGAGAGTGTGACAGGCATAGGTTCCTTACGTTGTTCCAGCTATTCGGGTGATGACGTGTGTCTTTTCCTCTTCATAAAGCTTAGCAAATCCAAAATCAGATATCTTTGCATTGAAATGCTCGTCTAGCAGAATGTTTGTTGGCTTAATATCTCTATGGACAATTTTCAATTTTGATTCTTCATGGAGAAAAGCCAGACCTTTTGCTATACCTAGGCAAATTTTGACCCTAGTTGGCCAATTTAGTTCTAATTTGAGTTCCTCTGCACCTGTAAATTACCCAACTTCCACAATGTTACATACTAATATCAGAAAATTTTAAGTTTAAAAGAGTTGTATAAACAAACTTGTCTGATACCAAATAATGCATGTGCAAGGGAATTATTTTCCATGTACTCGTAGACAAGTAGGAGTTGGTTGTCTTCTGCACAACATCCCATTAGTCTCACTAGATGTGGATGTTGCAGAGCTGAAATAGTACTAATTTCATTAACAAACTCGCGGATTCCTTGCTTTGATCTTGTTGAAAGTTGTTTAACTGCTATGATAGGTCCCTTGGGAAGTATGCCCTGCATATTGATGTGCAAAATTTCTAATTAAAAGACGAACAGGCAATTAGAAGTTTATTGGGCTTATGTTGGAGAAAGGTTTGCCAACTCCACACAATTGGAAGGAACATTTGACATAATCTAAAAAGAAATGAATGCTGGATTTTGAATTCCAGAGCAAGAATTGAGAAAATATGGACCTTATAGACAGTTCCAAAACCTCCTTCACCTAGCTTGTTAGCAGTGCTAAAATTCTGTGTGGCAGCTTTTATTTGACGGAAATTGAAAACCCCTCCAGGAAACAACTCTATTCTGCTAAGTTCTGTTTCAATGCATTAGCAATCAAATTGAAAAACAGTCAAGAAAGATGTTATCATGCATGAATGGTCAAAATGCTTATCGATGTTGTGGTGATCGAACTTTGTTTTTCTTACCTTCATCATGCAATTTTTTGACACCAAAGCAGCCCAACTTCCATAAAACACCTAAAATGAATATAAAGAAGAGCAAAAAAGATCCTACAATCCCAACAATATGCACAACAGATAGCCTGCTAGAAGCTTTGTTTCTTGGAACTGTTTCAATAAGATTCCAGAGAGTTATCAGTCCTATAGAGGACATTACCACCACAAGGCAGCAGAAAGAAATGAAAGAAAACACTGAACAGATAGATCATACCAGGGGAAACGGATATAGCAGATATAAGTGGACCATAATATTTTATTGTGTCACTTATTGAGCCTTTGCCAGTCCAATATAAGTGAATCTCCAGTCGGTTGTCATTCACAGAAACATTATACTCCATGGTTTTATCCTTATTCAAACCCTCTGCTTCTGCTTCTATATTGAAATTGCTCAATTTCTTCTCACCCTACAGTGAGTATTTTTGGTATAAATGCAATATGCCAAGTCAGGACCATGACTAAAGGATCAAAATTTTGTTTCGAAACAGTTAAAATGGCTTAAGCGTTTCCATTTTTATGGAGACCGACACAATGATTGATTATCAAATTCCTATTTTAAATTTTGCAAAACGTTTCCGAAATATTTTCATTTCTTAGGTGACAGAAAAAATGCACCAAAACAAAATTTTGGTCCTTACATAACTGTATAGACGGATAGCTTACCTGTATTTCCACATCAAAGGCTCGCTTCCCCTTGCTGGACGTATTTTTCATTACTTCCCATGCTATTTCAGCAAAGTGAAGTTTCACTATGTATACGTCATTTTTCAGACAAAATCCATAGTACTTCAAGGATATTGGAGAAACGCGTGCTGTCTTATATAAAGGTGCATCAACCATGGAGATATTGCATGTTTTTTGTACTATGTAGTTGTTGCGGTCTGCTCCCGAGAATATTCCCATACTACTATAAGCCCAACTTTTATTGCCACTTAGAAAAAATGTTGATCCCCCATCTGGTTGCAAATCTGCTTCATAATTATTATCATTGATTGATACTTGCTCACCACCACAATTTATGTATAAATGATCATCTGCAAAATATAGTACCAGTGTCGTCATCTTTTCAATGAAATTTTACCAAAGAAAAAAAGGATACAATATAAGCCACTAACTACTTCCTCGCATATTAGGAGAGCAAAAAAATAATGTTATTGCTCCAATGTCAAGAAATTGGCCTCTTCCCTAGTTCCTAGGTTCCCCTCCCACCCCTTTAACCCCAAATAGAAGGGAAACAATTTCCAGACTCGAGAATTATGTTATGGTACGGATAGAAATCGAGAAGCTCAATTGCACCACCATAATGACCAATTCTGCAGCCATGATCACCAACTAGAATTATGGCATTAACATAAAATTATGACTGAAAATGCTTTTAATGAATGTTCCTAAATGATGGAACCATTTGATAAGTTGCTCAACCATAACTCAAATCAAACACCGAAAAAAAACCTTACTAGAAACATCTAAACTCCACCCTACTAGAATGCAAAAGAGATGAATATCTTCAAAATCCTTGGTAATTGACGTCCAAAAGGATGCTTAATAATATATCTTATCCCATAATCCTTCCACCACCTCCCATGCGGTGATATTTTTGTATCATGTACATGGTACTAAATTCTCAAACATGGTATAGCTTTTGTTACTGATTTGAAATTTTTATTCAACATACCTATACTTTCCTATATAAAATGGAATTATTGATGTTTTATTGCATGGATCAAAATAAAAAATTCACCTTTGAGATTAGCAATCTCGAGATCGATGAACTGCTATCCATGAATAATATCTTTTTGCCAATAATCTACTCGGGTATGAACTTTTTCTATTGATGATTACTACTATTTTCTTTTTTTCTTAAATATTTCTTTTAATTGACGAAGGGACCTTGAAACAGACGTAGGATGATAAAGGGCAAGGCAAGATGCTGCCACTTGGAAATTTCGCCTAGGATTATAAGCCATTGGGTGCAATACTAGTTAGAGAGATGGAGTAGTCCAACAATGAAAGCCCAACATCTATGCTTATAATCCAACTCTCCTAAAATCTTGAACCTGTAGGTAGTGATCCCATCAACTGTAGTTAATCTTATTTTTTCACAGCACTATTCACATGAGATATTGACTTGTCACAAGTGTTATCCACAATATCTTCCTTAGTATTATTCATGGCTTTCTTCTAATTATTATTTCTTATCAAGTGTATGCCTTCCCTCACCACAACTCCATGCCACTCTTGCAGGTAGCTAGCGGAACACAAATAGTATTTTTCCCCTTGATTGAAAGAAAGATGTGCTTCTAAGTAAGCCATGTTTGGAGTTAGCCTTCTCATGTGTAAAAATGAATCCAAATTTAGAACCATAATATGGCAGCAGTAACGGAACATCATTATGAACCATAGACAAATATGTACAAGAAGCGTAGGAGTCCAAAAAGGAATTGAATATGGATACTTAGTGTTTTGTTGCATTTGTTATAAACTTCTTGCCATTCTTGCCACTTTGCAGGCCTGTAAGGATAAATATAAGAATGAAAACAAAGCACATTATAGTAATTGGACCTGGCTTTAGATAGAAACTTCATAGTCATTAAAATTGAATAAAAGAAACAAGTATCAAGAACTAAGAAAAATGTTGCTTACATGGTGGTCATATTAGAGCAGCATAAAAACAAGTTCCTGAAAATAGAGGATTTATATCATACAACACTAGAAACGATATTTTGAGAAGAAAAAAAATTCTCGTAGTTGCATTTTCCTTACAAATTTTTAGATATATTGCCAGGTGTTATGGCTGCATTTGTGAAAAAATTTTCCGAAACATCCCTGCAAAGTTGTGTACAGATAATAGAACTGTAAGATATAGCCTACTTGTTGAAGTAATACACTTTCCAGATCCCCTAGGATACACTAGTAGGCAACTACATAACTACATGTTCACCAAATAAGGGTCATCAAATGAAATTGTTATGATGGATGTATGATAAGATAAAAGTATAAAGAGGAACATACTTTGTAAGCAACTAGAAGTAACACAATAATAGGAACATAGAGACTAATTGAAAAAAATGGTCGGTGAGGATGTCGTAGGCAATCCAAGGAAAAAGAAAGATATAATCGAACTGTTGGTTTTTTTGTGGAGTTTAGTTTGTATATGTGATTCGGATGATGACTCGACCCGAAGTAATGTTGCGTGACTTTTTAATAAGAAATTTTCTGAGGCTTAGTCCATGGAGCGAAGGCTTGGCCGATAGGCCCAAGCCGTAGCGCTCATGGACAAGCCTTGTGGAGTTTGGGGGCAACGCCCCCGAGGAAAATTTTTGGGCCCGTTATATAGCCCAATGCATAGGACATATAAAACCCGTTGTTTTGGTGATTAGGGTTTTTATATATATGGTGGATTGTACAGTCACTCTCAATATTCAATTCTCTCAATAGTGAAATCCCTGCAGCTTCGTGGACGTAGGCAAATTGCCGAACCACGTAAAATCTGTGTCTTGTTCTTTCTTTCTTGTTTCTTATTACTTTATGTTTTTGATTTGTTCTTCGATTGTGTGTGTTTGTTAGTGAATTTAAATTGTGTTAAATCCGAACACGAACACAGAAAGAGGCAGAAAAGAAAGGCATGATAGCTTCAAGTTGATAGGTTACATGACAAAATAAATCAACATGAAAAAGCGAGAACCATGTATCCAACCTTAAACAATTAAACTGATGCCGAATAAGGAAAAAATTCAAAATAACACGGACTAACTCGGAATTGTGTGAAGAAAGTACTCTAACTGGAAATGACAAGATCTACAAGAATCATTTTAGCACATATCCAACAAATTTTTTGTGTTCTTATCTCCAATTTGTCTTTTTTTTTTTTAATGTTCTGGAGATTGGAGTTATATCTAAATTCGTGCTCAGCTGTTGCCTTCGCATTCACATCGTAATGTATGCTTTTCAAGCAGAATGCATGTTCCACACACTGATTATGGTATTGCAGCTATTGCTATCCTCTGCGGCAATGATTGGGCCTTGGATAAGGGCAAAAGCTTGAATGGATTCATCATATTTTCACTGTCATCTTTGCTGTGAGATTTATCATTTGTCTTTGGCTTTAAACATATATGTTATCTCACATTTGTTTTTTGTGTTTGCCTTCTGTAGTTGTATTACAAAGAGGAAAGCAATGGAATACAACGTGAGCTGGTTAACTGTATTAGAACAATGAGAAACTAGGTCATTAGAGAATCTAAGAAGAATGTGTGGCAAGGTACAGATTGAAGATAGGACATGGGAGAGGTCGCCAAGATGGTTTGTGCATGTTCAATGTAGATCAAGTAATATGGCCTTTGGTTTACCAAGTTTGAATAAGTTGAAAAATAAATAAAGGGGCCAAAAATAACATAGGCGAAACTATGAGAAAGAACAAGCTTGCCTAAACACTATAGCTAATACCTAACTACAAAAAAGACTAGAAAAGTATCCATATGGTCAATCTTGAAAAATTGGGATTAAGGTTGAGCTGATAACTTTAGCTGTGTGTTTTTGCTCTAAGAATGGGGGTCGTACCAATTTAACACCTAGGCACACAACACACCCACCAAAATCTGACTTAGTTGACATAAGCATCCATCAATTAAGAGAGATGCAAACAAATAATTGAATATAGTGGCATTTCACAAATACTTATCATGAGAATAAATGCAGTTTTTAATATTTTGACACTTACACATACGAATAATTTAAACTTGTCAGCCATCCTGGGAGTGATCCAGTGAGATTATTTCCTTTGAGGAATCTGTCAAACAGGCGAATGGCAGCATGAGATTCCTTATTATTACTTAGCAAATGATACAAAGGGAACATTTGGCAAACTCGACGGAAACAAAATTTTATCTAAAACTCATACAACATTTGAAGTTAAATGAAGCCAATTAGGCCTCAATTAAGCACTGTACACAGGTGGTAAAACAAGAATATGTAAGTTTAATGAAGCAACATAAAGACGTGCATGAAAAATGTAGCTTTAGCACAACCATAGTGACTGGACCAATTGATGGGTATTAAAAAGTATCAAGTTTCAAACATTATGCAAACAAAAACATAAAGATGATACGAAAAGAGTCGGCAAAAAAAGTCCTTGGAATTAAATGGATGAATAGAGTTATGAAGTGAACTCTAACTAGTAGGATGACAGATTTCTATAGTTGAGCGTTTGAGTAAAATCTTGGATCTGATCTTCTATCTTCAGATAAATTACAAATATAAATATAAGCGGAGTAATTTGTGTTGATACGAAGAATTCATCAAATGCATGAAAAAAGACAAGCTTGATATTGGATACATGAATGAACAATGTGAATTTATTATTCTTGCCTATGAAGAACGCAAGAAGATATCGTGTTCGTGTCCATGAGACACCTAAACACATATTCAGGTCTGAAAGAATTAAATCCGAAAGAGACTTTTGGGAAGTGAAATCTCTCACATGGCATTCCAGAATTTCGGTTTGACAACGTTTGGAATTACACCTGTCAAATTATTGAAACTCAAGTCCCTGTGTAAAAAACAAGTAGCAATGAGACAACTGAGGTATTAATTAGGACTCATACTCAAGGATGGAAACATTTAAGAAGTAGCATATAATATCACAACAAGCCTGCCCTATACTTGAAACATCCAACATTCATTGAAGAAGGGCTTTTGAGGAAGGGCGTAGAGAGGGATCAATATAGGAGTGAAATGTAGATAGGTTCCCCTGAACATAGATAGATCGTGATAAATTAAAAAGGCAGCACTCAATATCTATAATCTCACAACCCTCCCCCCCCCCCCCCCCCCCCCCCCCCCACCCCCCGGGGCGCCCCTCCAACAAAAAGAAAAAGATATAAAAAACTGAAAAAAAAAAAAAGGAAAGTATAGCAGAGGAACAACAAAATTTAAAGGCTGTGGAGTTACAATAGAAAAAAAATATCTGAAAATCCATACACGAGATAATTATCTTACAAATATGATAGCGATGGTAACTGCCAGATAATATCCGGAATTGGACCAGTGAGTAAACAATTCCT